TCTGGTGCATCTCACTATTGAGTTTTAAGCCCGGAGTCGTGTTTACCTCCACAGCGGTCCTAACTTTTCCTTACTAAAATTTTTAATGCCCACAAACCCGTTAACAACATGATGGGTTTTCCCGCTGGGTCACTGAGATTCAAGACGCTCCAACAAGTTCGTCTTAGTTTTATAATCTTCGGTAAGGGTCTTAAGTTTATGCACAGATGGCTTCATGCGGGGGTGAAAACCTCTCACAAACTCCTCACACAAAGTTCGGTGATCCATTAAACTTCACAGCTTTAAATACGACTTTGAATGGGAAAAACCTGATATAGTTAATGAAGGGAAGAGATTTGGTAAGTTGATGATTAATATTTAAGATCCTTGGCTGAAAAAAAAACCCGTGGCTCTTGCAATCAGAATCTGTGACCAATAAAATAAAAGCAAAAACAAATCAAAATCAAAATAAAGCCTCGGCGAATAAAGTCCATAAAACAAAAACGAAGATTTTATTTATGAAAAGGAAAAAAACTTAAGTTGGAGAGAATCAAATCTCACTGATGAAGGTATAGGAAAATAATGTAAAGCGTAGGAGCCTCAGTTAGAGCAGTGTGGGAGCTGTAGGAGCCTCAGTTAGAGCAGTGTGGGAGCTGTAGGAGCCTCAGTTACAGCAGTGTGGGAGCTGTAGGAGCCTCAGTTACAGCAGTGTGGGAGCTGTAGGAGCCTCAGTTACAGCAGTGTGGGAGCTGTAGGAGCCTCAGTTACAGCAGTGTGGGAGCTGTAGGAGCCTCAGTTAGAGCAGTGTGGGAGCTGTAGGAGCCTCAGTTAGAGCAGTGTGGGAGCTGTAGGAGCCTCAGTTACAGCAGTGTGGGAGCTGTAGGAGCCTCAGTTACAGCAGTGTGGGAGCTGAGGGCCGACAGTATGGAAAAAAAAAACTAAAACCAATCACGGTAAAAGAGCGCTGACTTTATTCCGCCGCCCTGCAGTGCTGCCACCAGCGACCGGAAACAAATGGTCTGCCACCTGTCTGAATGACCCAAGCTCGCCGGGGTGAAAATCCATTGAAAAGACAAAAATATAGGTTACGTTAAGTCAGGTTAAGTTAGAGTAGCTCAGATAAGTTAAATTATATAAACATTGCAGTGGATGTGGGAAGGATTAAGAAATGAGCACCATTGATATCAGATAATTTCCCTGATCGACTTGGCTGGAGGAAACAGAGGAAGTGTCCCCAATGGTCTTCCTCCGTCAGGAAGGAGAATCTATCGTTGACAGCACCGACGAATTAGACTCACCTGTGGGAGTTGCTGCAGTATTTGGCCTCCCTGTGTCTCGCTGCTGATACATCTTTTGTAATTTTTTTCTGAAATAACAAAATTGATGATTAAGAAACAATGTTATTATTATTACGAAGTGTAAATGACTCTAATAAGTAAATATTACACGAATTTGTATTAATATGAGAGATCAACCACACACACAGAGAGAGAGAGAGAGAGAGAGAGACAGCCACACGGAAATGCAATGTGGTGGGATACCTCTACAGTGTGATGGAGCGAACCAACGCATTCATCGTAATTTCTGTCATCAGGAGCGGCAATTACGTGGCATTTGTATAATCACATTCACATACTATGTTAGGCTCATGAACGGAAAAAAGTCACAGGAAAAGTCATACTCTTCATCCGAACACCATTAACAAGACACCGACCACCTCTTGGTTACGATGACATTAACTCTTTAGTTAAACTCCCACCATAGAGGAAGACACGTGAATATTACAGTCAACACACAGTCTACTATATAACAGCTACGTTACAGGGATTACAGAAACGGGCGGGACCCTATTACTAAGTCACACGTAACCAATTAACAGGTAATAGCTTAATGCGTCACCTGAAGCGGTTTGCTCTCAAGTCCCAATTAAGGTTGACCCACTCGTCGATGGCTCCGTAATGAAGAGCATTGGCAGGCTACAGATGGACGGCAGCACAAAGGATCCAGTCGTAAAGGATCCAATACAATGTGATGTGATTAAGACGATTAAGGATTTGGGCCTATTATGACTCGGCCCTAATCGTACAGTAATAGTTAAGTTGGGGATCATTAGGTCTGATGCTTCATTAGGATTGGTACCCATTTGATCTGTTATCTAATCTATTACATACTGTACTGATCCTCTACTTGTCTCCCAGTCACCGTAAAGGAATCTTCTCTATCGAATCACTCTCTTTCTCATTTCGTGACGGATGCAGACTCAATAACGTGATATACAGAAAGACTCCTACAGTAGTTCCAGTCTCTTATCTTCTACAGGAGTCTCCATGGTGCGATTATCTGCAACAGGGAACTATCT